ATAATGAACGTTTTAAATTAAATTAACAAATAAAATTTAGTTGCACGTTATTCAAAAGTATTTGTGTCGTTCTTTTCGCACTGCTTTTGTTAGCTATTTTTAGCGGGTTTATTTCTGGCATCCCGCCTTTTTTGACATCAGCTGTTCGAAATTCCCTGATTTTAATAATCAGGGAAAGAGAATAATAGAAAAATCAGCGAAAATGAGAGAGTCTCGCATCATGTCATCCTTGACATGTTGATGAGTAGCGTTGAAGCAGCTGTTCCAGCTCTCTCTCTCTCTTTCAACATACTTATGGCAGCGAAGGGAAATAGTTCGTTGTGTAGTGTTTCTGAATCGTGGTTAGTTCGAACGTGGAACCAATTTTCCTTTAAAATAAGCTATCTTCCACCTGACCACAGCGGTCAGCCGTGTTTTACTTACAGAAGGATGACAGACTTTAAACAAGCGGTGGACCTGCTGCTCTTGCAAGTAACCTCACATAAAGATACTCATATTTTGAAAGGTGATAGTCAGATATTTTACGAAATTAGGAGAAGGAGGAATGGATCTCGATATGTTGAAATGTGTACCAGAGAAATCTAGATGTTGAGCTAGTGAAGACTTTGTTAGATTTGAAACAACCGAAATCTTCTTGAAAGCAGATGTTCTTTTTAGTACTATATAAGCGTGAATTGTAGCGTAAAAAGTTAGGAAACGGGAGAGTTTATCTCAATATATTTTGCATATTGTAATTGGTGGGAGATTTATTAAAAGAACTTGGTTTTGGAAACTCAGAACTTGAAAGCAAATCAGAGCCTGAATAAACTAAACGCTCTTTCGAAATTGGAAGCAAAGCAACCCGTTTAGTATATGTAGATCTACACAGGTAATAATAACACTGTCCAAAACCAATATTTTTCGTAATTTCCCTATTTTTCAAAGTTATCCTCCAATATCGAAATATGTGCCTTCGAATTTCGAAATTGAGCGTGTTTATATAACTTTCCAAAAAAAAAAAATTTTAACACCATTCAAGTTTTTCTCTCATTTCGATGGTTTATAAAATTTTTAGATCGAACTTTTGATTTTTGGAAAAAATAAAACCTTAAATAATAATTTTTTCAATATTGTCAGTTTCGAAATTCGAAGGCAAATATTTAGACGCTAAAGGAAGTCAATTTTAACCTACAGTGTAAGAATAGGTTTCTTATCTTAGTACACACTTTCGTCTTTTAGACTTGATTTTAATAATAAATTTTCTTTACATTAAATTTAAAAAAAATTACTCCATATGTGGATGATGCTTTCAATTTCAGAGTTGTATTTTTCCAATTACTTAATTTCGAATTTACCAATTGTAAGTGGTGAAGCCCCGAATTCAAACTAGAAATAAAAATATTAAAAGTAAAATATAATTTTAATGACATGTCATCATAAAATATGCAACTCAAAAACCCCACACAAACAAAAATCACCAGAATATTTCATTGGCTGCCTTTCAAGCGCATCCTTCTACAAAAGAGTGTGGAAGTGGAATATTTTCATTCGACGTTACCACAAACTGGATGATATTTTGTGTATTCGAGCGCGGTGCACTTGGCTTAATGCAATATTTGAGGAGAAACCAGGGGTTGGCGACGCACCAATAATCCAACTGCCATTCAACCAGCTCGTCAGCACGCTCACCCAACGCTGCGCTGCAGCACAACGATTTGTAGGTGTTTTTTAGTTTCAGGCTGTACGTTTCCGGGGAGCTGGCTGCGCTTGCGCATAATAAGAACGCCGCTGCAGAATTGGGTCGCTCCTCTTGTGCATATTTTAACCTGCCTCAAGAATCTGTGCGCTCGCTTTACAGTTGCTATACAGCGCTATGACTGGTGCTGATGCTGATGATGATGATAATAATGGTTGAATAGTTGTGTGAGTGGGTGGCAGTCGGGTGGACGGCGCAAGTGGGGGTTGTTGGTGTAAATATTTGTTGCTTTCAGCATTACAATACACAAACAGTAGTCAAGTTGTTTTCCATTTTGTTGGAATGCACTTAAATGCTTGATGAGTGTGCGAGCGGCCAAAATGGTTGTGCGACAAAAATATAAAATACCCGTTAGGTTTGTGTGAATGTTCTTGGGAATACGTACATATGTATTTTCATACATACATAAGAGCATATGTACCAAATACATATTTACGCTGGTGCAAATGGAGGAAAATATGCAAATCCTTGCTTTGAATTCATTTCACTGTGCAATGAGTTGCACAATCACAAAATAATTGCAAGTATAAATAAAAAATTTATATATGGTATATTCATAAGCATATAACGTATGTGAGTGGTATGTGATATTTATTTGCTTTAAAGCGAATTTGATTTGTTTGATTTTTGTTCATTCGAAAAAAATAAAGCAAAAAACAAAACAAAAAATTTCTTGAAGTATTCACCGAAAGTGATTATTTGAATACAAATGATTTCACTTTTTAATAAAACTCGAAAACAACTTTTACATTACTTATTAAGTTACAATAAAAGATAAGATTTAAGCATCGAACTTTTAATATTTTTTATATTCAATTAAGCACACGTCCTCTTCGTATGTAGCCAACTGGGGGAGAGAGGCGCGCTGCACTTTATTTCATGTCATTGACTCCTACATCCTGTCCTACATCGTGTAGCGAAACTAATACTTACATTTTTAAATTCGTGATATCTTCCGAATCGAATAATTCAAAAATCTATGTAAAGGCATTGAATCAGGTTTGAATACGAAGTAATTAATTTTGATAAGGATCAATACTAAGGTACAAATAAAGGGCTTTTACGGAAGCGGAATTTTAAATATTATATTATATTTTAAAATAAACAACACTTATCCTAACCTAACTATAACGGTTAGATATGTGCTTAGGTGGCATTTTTTGTAAATAATTATACGTTCTACAAAGTCGTAGAACATTATTTTGTTCTATAATATAATAGTATTCGTAGCGCTTGTCATATAAGGAATTATTTTTAACACCTTGGGTTACATTACCGGCGTTTTAGTAAGGATCTCCAACAAAATATAATATAGCCTATGTTCACCGGAGAAAGTGTACCAGTAGCTTGTTAACCGTGAAATAATTTTTTAAAACTGTGACGTAGTTTCAGATCCGATTTTAATCTAACAAACAAAAAAACAATCAATCTTTCTTCATTATAATAATTATATAGCTTCAGTACTTGTAAGGTGGGCGTGGTTATTACAAATTTTCTCGCCTTAAAAGGATTACTGTTTTTTTCGCTCAGATTTCGATTGACCTTCGGCTTACACACCTTTGTTTATTTGACATGATCGACACGCGGTAAATTGCACCCCAATTCAAATTAAAAAAAAAAATATAGTTTTAAAATGAATAGTCTTTTTGTACTTAGCCTAGGAAACCAGCTTTAAAATATCGATGCTATTATTTAATTTTTATTGATTTAAAGAAATCGTCCGTCAAAGGGAAACAGTTTCTTTTACGCCAGTGTGCCTTCTAAAGGTTAATATGACTTTGGCAGCTTAAAACAAACATTTTTTTTTATAAGGCTGAACCAAAACTTTTATTCTAAACGCAATTCGTTGATAATTTCGTCCATATATTTTTCTATAAATATTTTAAATTCTAATGCTATCTTCGAAGTATAAATATTGAATATTAAGGATTAGCATATATTCTGGCACAAATTCATGATTTTTCAGCTGCCTTTATTCCTGGTAACTAGAATATTAAGTATAAAGAAACAATGATTGAATAGGCAAGTTTGGACCATATTTTAAATAATATTAGCTTGTTCAGAATCAGCAAAAGAAAAATATTTTTGATTCTTATATAGAGTTTGTAAAATAACCAAATATGATAAATTGATAGATACACTTGTGAAAATTTTACGATTAGCATTTTATCAGAACCAATGCTTTGACTACTGTCTGAAAAGCGAAAGGTTTTCCAAAAGATAATTTAGAAAAAAATTACAACAGATATAGAAAATACATTTTCTGTTGACACTATCAGCGGTCTTTTTCGAAAATCTTACATACTCTAGTAATAATTACATTGGTACATCTTTAATCACAATTCTGTACCAATTTTAATTTTTAACGAGCATTTAATTCACTTCTTTGTTGAGTGAAATCAAAATTTTGCTGCGATGTCAGTTTTTATTGATTCAAAGCAGGTCTTATATCGTATGTACAAGAAAGAATTAAAGTTGTTGTCCATGAACCTTTGTATTTTATGTGTCGATATTCCTTTAAATAAATTTTTTTGGAAATAAAATCTAAACTAGTGAGCTTTCCGCCGATATTTTGCTGAGCATACTTGCAATAAGATGCTTAAGTGGTTATTGCAGGAGTAAAAGTGCCAACGCTGCAGCTTATTTGATGAATTAATTTTTTGTGTGATATTTTTTGTTTATAAATTTTTTTATTTTTTTTTGGTCATAAATATATTTTTTTATTTTATTTTTTTTCAAAATATAACATATTTAATTTATTGCTTTCTTTTTTGAACTATTACTGCTAATATGAACAGGATATTATTGAGTAAATGGCATTTTTGTATATTCGCTTGATAAACATACAGATATATGCTTGAATTTGCCAGACTAGCGGATAGAAAGCTTTTAAATTTTACGATCGAATATGATTTTATTTATATTTATATTTCCCAGCTACTAACATACCCACACATACATTTTTAGCCTTTGCTTTGAACTATTTTTTTTTACATAAAATTGTAAATCTATGTACACAAAGCCACACACAAATGAAGCTCCCGTTTTATGCCTAAAATAAAATTCGCTAATTCCATTCGTGCTTTCCTACAGTTTACTCCATCCCACTGTAATATTATCCGAAGCAAAATATTTTTGTGCTTTGTAATAATTCCCGCCAGTCAAAAGTATGTATTTCATATTGTGTACAGCACAATTTCCAATTTGAGTGAAATCGCTGACAATTGAATATAAATTAATTTTGGGAAAATTGTTATTGTTCCAGGGTTTGCTATTCAATAAAGCCAAATCCAAATCGAAGCTTTCTACCAGCTAAAATCACCGTGCATGGCACTTATCAAACTAACATAATAACCGGACCAATTGAGCTATGGTAATTAACAATATCGAATAGGTATACTAAACAAGTAATTTGTTTTTGAACAGCAAAGTTTTACAATACTTGATTGTATTGAAAACAAAAGAAAGCAGGATATGCTTGGTTAGTATGTGGTGGTGGTAAGAGACCAGTTTTTAAGTAGCTTTATGGTTATAGTAAAAAACTCTTAATTTGCTGGCTTAACTAATTAAACAAGTATAAAAAATATAAAAAAAGTTAAAGCCTTTTTTATATACATGAAAATAATATAGATATTTAATTTTTACATCTCCCAAAGGTTTAACTCGTTTATATTAAAAACCATATAAAAAGTTGCTCATACGCCATGCACTCAAGTGAGCGTTGCCAAAATACATAAAACAAAAGTTAGCTTAACCAACTGCTACAAAAAATTTAAAGTGCTTAAACACAAAATAATATAATATTTGTTTTGGTTTTGGCACCGATAAAAGCATAATGCCGACCCGAGAGGCCGCTGCCGCCCCAAGCGTACGTGTTTACATTATTAAATATAACCAACAGACATAATTTTATGGCAATGGCCCTCGGCTTTTATTCGCTGCGTTATGGATAATTGCTTGTGGGATGCCGTTTAGCATCCAACAAGTGGCCAAATGAATTGCGTATGGAAGGGTATTAGAGAGAAGTACGAAATCCCATAAAAAATAATTGAAAATTAATAAATTTTTTTTGAAATATTCCCATAAAAGGAATCTAAAATCATGCAAAAACAATATTAAATTTTTTTTTGCAACATGGCGTGTGCATCACAAAATTACTTTTCCATTTCTAATTTTTTTGATTTTTGTAAACAATTCTCTAAAACTTTTTTTTCAAGATTTCGTTGAAGTGTTCTCACGCGTGCCGGCATTTATGTTTTGCATTTAATTAGTGCCCAAATTTATGTTACTTGATCTGTTGAGAGCTCATATTTTTTTCATTCAAAATTCAAAAAATTTCCACTTGTGCAAATTATGCTAATACTTTGAGATGTGCATATTCCGAGAAGCGATTTTTGAAAAATTCAATTTTTAGACTTTAAGTGAAAAACGACCAAACAATTATATAAATACTTGGAAGTGGTTTTTAGGGGCCTCCATATCATATTTATATTCCAAAAAATCAAAAGTTTTATTAAAATATTTCCAAAACTTTACTGCATGAAGCATATAAAACTTGAAGGCAAATGAGTTTAAGGCCGAAGAGACCTTGACTGCATAAATTTGAAATTTTATACTTAAGCATACTCAAACAACAAAAGAGCATGCTGCTATGAAAAACAAAAGTAAGAGCATACAAAACAGAGAAATTAATAAAACAAAACTTGAAAACTTTGTATTATGTTTGCTATTCTCAAGAAATATAATGTTGTGTTGTAAATAAAACGCTTAGGCGAAAGAAATATTGCAATACACTGGATGCCGTGAATACTAAACACATAAAATCTGAATTATAAGAATAAATAAATATAATGCTTTTTGGGAAATAAACAGCTAAGTAATTTAGATGCGTATAAATCAAAGCGGATACTTTGTAATAATTTACTCCTTAGTCCTCAGTATAAGGAGGACTCAATATTATAAATATTGCTTAACACAACTTTTTTCCTACCACTCTGTTGAGTTCAGCGCCATTGATGTGACTTATGAAAAAACCCAATAAGCTAGAATTTATAAAATATGCTAACTAATAACAAATTAGAAGAATAATGAATTTAGTCTACACAGTGTTCTTCGATTCCTCTCAATCGTCAGGTTAGAAAATTCTACGTTGGTTTAGATTGCCTTGAATACCTTTTGACTGAAACTTCCGATTTTTTTTGGGAACTCCAAAAAGCTTCTAGATTTCTGCTACTCTCCGCAGCATTTTTCAAATAAAATTTATATACTTGTATAAATATATAATTACATACAGATCACATATTTATAATATGCGATGAGCTGTCTTTAAGGAAAAGTAAATACAACTGCACCCATAAAGTGCTTCTGTCTGCTCGTAATCAGATTTTATTAAAATAAACCCACTCTTGTATAACAGCCTAAGATTTTAGAATTTAGAGGAATAGAACTGACAGGAGCAGGTTGGTATAACTTTTTTGGTCAACAAGTAGATTAGCTTAGGGTAAAAGGTCACTCCTGGTACAAGCGCTAACAAGCGCTAACACTTGAATAGCTTAGACTGGTGGTCCGTTGTGGATTCCAAAACTCATATACCTATATCGATCTCGAATACTCTAATAATATCAGTTTAGGGTATATCTTTGGTTCGGGTATATCTTTGGTTCGCCGAGATGTCTCAACCTTAGTCTTGCAAACGCTTGGCAATGAAGAGGAAGTGCGTGGATGTTTCAACCTCACCTTCCTACATATATACAACTTCGACAATTTTCGATCGTTAAGATTTTTGCCTAGGGCAAGTAGTTTAACATAAAACTTTAACTTAATCAAATTATATTACATACTTATATAGAATCGGTATAAAGGTGGAGGTAGCTATGTCTTCATTGCTTTTTGCTCTTTAATAAATATACTTATATGTAAATATTTCAGTCACTAGAAGCTCAAGGGTTAAGTAAGTGTAAAGTTATAAGTCTTTGTCGTGGTAGTGAACATGGTTCTGTTAGTTATTTATTATATTTGATGAAATTTTAAAACTATTTCTTCTCTTAACTTGTTCTGGCGTTTGTTTGACGACAAAACACATTAGATCGTGACGTCGTAAACAAAAATAGAGAAATGACAAGTTTGACAGTTTCATTAGTTTTTTATTATATCTATATTGCTCTGTACCTAGCTTCTCGCAAGCTATGAAAATAATTATTATTATATTATTATAAATAATCATTCTTGATTATAAAAAAAACTCGTAGAGTTTCTGATAGCTGATATGATAACTTTCTCTTAAGAAGCAACTCAATTACTCTAAACGGCTTGGTGAGAGTTCAAAGCTGTAATGTGATATTTATAGATTTGAAAGCTTATAAATAAATATTACAGTTACTTGGGGTAAAAGAAAGCTGTATGAAAACAATACTGTGTTCCGTTCCCTATCTTTAAAATATATATCTTTAATATGAATAATTTTAATATAAAAAGGTTCCTAAGCAATTTAATATATATAATGAAAACTCTAAAAATAATTATGGATTAATAGTTCTTAGTGAATTCAGGTGATTACTTGGTTTCTAGTAGAAATCACAGCTGGAACTAAAAAATTTAAAAGTTCGCATTTAAGTGTGTGAATTTCTGGAAACTTTAAAAATGTTTTGATCGAATTTTCATATATTAAATAATATATGAAATTGCACAGAATTATTTGCTTAAAATATCTCATAAGTGAAGGTAATAAAATAATGTAAAATATAAAATATAAAAATTGCACTTTTATACTAAAAAATCTATGTTATATAGTTGTTATTTTATTTTTGCATCACTGCATGCGGTCTTAGAACGCAAAGAGAGAGAGAGAGAGATAACTGTGTAAAAATACCATATATATTTAAAAAATGTTGTCTGCAACTTTATAATAGCAAATATTGGATTCTTTTGGGTTTGTGCACATTAACTAACACAAGCAATTATCGGATTTTGCTCTTAGTTTTTCTTGCAGTAATGAGAAAGTATTAGCAACAAACTTTATTTTATATGTATTTTGCTAATTGAAGTTTTTTATACTTTCATGCTGTTGCTTCGTTTGCGTTTTGCTGTTTTGCGTCGCACAGGACATCGCTTTTCATCGTCACCAGTTTGGTGTATGCCATCATTTTGATTGTTGTCTGCATTGCCTATGTCATTAGCGATGTGACAACCCACCGTCTGCCAGTGCTCTACTATGAAACATTCTTTACGTACTTGTATGGCGTCAGCATACTCTTCCTATTGTATGTATTTTGCTTCCTGCTGCAGGGTAAGTACAACAAAAATAAAAAATATTCTAAAACTGCTAATGAGTTAGTATTAAGATTTAAGGAAAGCGGTGAAAAGATTATTTTTTTTAAATTTTTTTATAAGTTTAATAAGAAAATAAGAAAATAATTTTTAGAAAACCCATGAATTATCAATAAATAATAATATTCAATATGGTAGGACGGAGAGGTTATCTAGTCAGTAAAAAAGCAGAATTAATCGCAGAAAACTACTTCACTTAACTTCAGATCTGAGCTGTTTTTTAGATTAGTTCAATTGTAATCTCAACTTCAAAACTATTACTAAAATTTTTTAAATATTGCATATTGTATTTCGCGGTATTAACCTGTTCGGTATTAAGCTTACTATATAGATACGAATTTTTTGAGATCAAAAGGTCTCAAGGCTTGGCTCAGATTTGGTTCTATAGTTCTATTATGGCAGCGAAATAAAAGTGGCAATGAAATGATAAAGCTTTTCAGTTCTACTTGTCAAAGTTATATAACATAATCTATGAGATTAGATCAAATTACTAGGCACTGAGACGATTGCACTTGTCATTACCATATGATTTTGAAGATGGTGATCGCGCTTGGGCTATGTGAACTATTTACAGTCGTTTGTGAAGCCAAAAAATAGAACTTCTGTAATCAGTCTATAATGCACCTTCAGACTAATACAAAGCTCACCGGGATATCTGAAAGCGTGAGCTCTGAGGTTTTTAAGCTTGACCGTGGAAAAGTGGAACAGTCAAGAAGAAAATGTTGAGATGTCTCTAGCTCGCCTTTTATAACTGAAATCCGATAAGTTTCTCAACCTTACCATGTGGACTCCGATAGAGCAATGACTAGTTAGAATCCCCATAATTATGTAAAGGCTAAGCTAACTGAGGACGAAGAGATCCACTTATACCTTAGGGAACTTCATTCGGTAAACTCAATCTTCAGTTTAATGCTATCGAAGAGCCGTCGAGTGTATTAGAATTCCCAAAACACTAACCCCCGAAAGAAAATATATAAATGATAAGTGTGATCTTCTCCTGTTTGCCCGCCGTGCGTCTGCGCATCTGCCTATTCGTGAACTAATCCCTCAGCTTTAGAAATATTGCGCTCGTCCTTTTCTCCCTTAGAAGCTTCTCATTTGATGAAACCGGGCTTATCGGAACATTATAGAACATGGCTGTCATACAAACTGGAAAATAATAATCACGTCCTTGTATGGAAAACTTGGCATGATATCCTCACGAAATTTGACAACGATTATTGCTCAAGGTAAAGATACAATCTTCGAACCAATTGTTCAGATCGGACCACTTCAGCATATACATAGCTGCCAAATGAACTGACCGATCAAAATCAAGTGCCTGTAAGGAAAAATTTGTATTTGTGAAGGGTATTATAGCTTCGGTACAACCGAAGTTAACATGTTTTTATGTTATTAGCTAAAATTATGCCGATTTTAAACTCCAATATGCTTAATATAAGTAAAAATTTTTACTAATTACATTTTTACATTCCTCCACCTCAACTTTTAGAGAGTTCCTGCTGTAATGGCGGCAGTAAACCGAAACCACCACCAAAGGAGAAAAAATCCAAGAAGAAAGTACCAGATCCAGCCGATTCGAAGGATGCGAAGGGTTCCAAGGATTCTGGCAAAAGCGGCAAACCGAGTCCATATCAGGTGCGTGTCATTATATGCTATCTCAATTAGTACTAAATGATGTTACGCTTTAAAAACTCAATTCGTATTGCCCTTGCACACACACATACACCCACACAATTCAACAACCTTCAGACACACAGGTTCTTTCACTGCGTTGAAAAGTTCCCACACCAGCACACCCTATGTAGTTGTATACAAACATATGTACATATATATATGTACGTACTGAATACATTTGTCAGTCAAGTACAGTTGAAACTGAAGCATTTATGATTTCAAAATTCTTTTGAGGGTTCTGTAGCTAATTGTGTGCTAATTGGCTGTAATTACTTTAACTATACTTCATTACTAAATCCATTAGTGCTGATTTTGTGTGTGCTTTATTTGCGTTAGTCTGGGGGCTACAGGTGAACTTTGTGAAATTTCAATGTTATTTATGTTTCAATGTTATAATATATACTTGTGTGTTTTTTTTCGAATATTTTAGGGAGATTTTATGTTTAAATATTCTTTTTTTTTTAATTTCAAAAAACTAACAATAAATATTATTGTAAATAAGAAAAGTTAAAAAAAATGTTTATAAAATTTAAAACTAGATTTAAAAAAATGTATATAAAAAAAATTTAATTAAAAAAAAAAATTTTGAAATTTTAAAAAATTTAAACTATTCCAAAAAAAAAAAATATTTTAATAAAATTTGTGAATTTAAATTAAGAAAATTAAAAATCTGGAATTAAAACTAAAATTGCGAACAAAATATTTTCACATATATATTAATGAATTTCCATTAAAAGAATTAAAACTTGATAAAAATTCTATATTTCATAATAAAATTAATATTTTATTCTTGCCTTCTTAATTTATTTGTATTATTAATTTGTCTATTTTCTAATTTCAAGCCCTAACTTTTCTTTTATTTTGCATATATAAAAGTAAATGTTAATTTTAATCCTTATTTTTCATTTTACCACTACCAACACTTTTCATCATCATCATCCACCACATAAAACAAAAATCATATATGCAACCGCCGCCTGCCAACGCCAACACAAATCCGAAAAAACGAAAACAAAATTTAAATCTGCAAAAAATATGGCCACCACTTGTCGACACACATGCCAACGATTCCTGTAAATGAAAATGCTTGAAAATTTTGTGTGCAAAAAATATTAATGTTAACAATAACTGGCCTAATGTCTATTATTTATACTCGGTATCTACTCAAACAAAAAAAAAAAAACACAAATCTGGGTCGAAAATGCTTTTCAAACGCGTAAAATGAATGCAAAAATCTTAAACACAAATAAAAAATAAAAAAAAAACAAAAAAAAAACTACTATTCGCATTACGCGCCAATGAGCGAATGGCTGGCTGACTATCAAATTCCTTGCTCCTGCTTTATAATTACCGCCTAATCCTGCCGCTACAACAACAACGCGCTGCTTATATATACACACATATAACTGTGACTCTGCCGCCTACAAATAATCTGGCTAAAATGATGTACAAATAAAACAAAAAATGTCTGCTTGCACACATGCGCACACACGCGCGCACTTACAAACCCACACCCACATACACACGCACGCATCCTGCCAACAAAACAAATGCGCATTTTATATTTCATAATCCGTTCGTCGGCAGGAGCGCTATCCGGTTAAGAAACGTGATCTGGTGCGCCAGTCCTTGTCGCTACAGGTATGCTTAACAACAACAACAACAATAAAACAATACAAATTACAAAACACCAACATAACTAACTGAATAACAACAACAGCAAATAACAATAAATAATATCCGCAGCAATATTTTTCTATACTTAGTAACATGCTCATGCATATATGTATATACATATGTAAGAACACCTACATATACATACGTATAAGAAATAATGCCACTTGATTTGAATAACTCTTGAAATATTAATTCTCTGTGTGGAATGGCAACACCGCGCTTTCTCTGTTTCAACATCTTTATGGCTTTCATTCTCTATGTCGCTATCATGTCACATTTTTCATAATTTCAGTGTCTCCTCGATATTTCTCTCTCTCTCTCTTCCTCACTTTATCTATTCCCTTCTCCCACCATCTCTCTTTCTCTATCTGTTTAATTAGCATTACTATTTCTTCGATTTATTGTAGTTTTCCGTAAAATTTAATCAGTTTACTTTAAATTCTACAAAAGATTCAAAAACCTTGAAACCCATTCTCATATTTTTCAAATAAACTAATTGTACCCATCTCAAAACTACTTTGTATCTTGAGTTTAAAATATTTACTTGATCCTTATAAGCTTCCTAAGCACGTCTTTTTAGATTCCTGTCCAAAGGAAATCTAAATATTAATGCATGTCCGAGTGTCCGATTAATGTTGAATGTATTGGCATAACAACCCTGTCGAAACCTCAAAACGAAGAAAATGTTTTGTAAGTTAATGAACTAACATAGGTAGAAGTCTTTCCGTGTTCTTAATTTCATATAAGCGTACTCGTATCAAATCGAATGATACGAGAACTTTTGTAACACAACCGCTACTAAACTGCAAATCTTACTTATCCTAGGTTCCTAAAAAGGCACATATCCTCCTATCCCGAGTCATCGTTCAGCTTTATGTTTGCTTTATAGCCGCGATGTCTACAGTTTTATACAATTGGTCTCTGAAATAGAGTTTTTAGTAACACAAATTTAGAATTTAGGAAGTAATGAATTAAATTTAATTTTCTGATGTTAATATCAGAAAATTTTGGTCTTGGATAGTGTTACCTGGTCTGAACGCCAGCCGAATCAGTGGATGACCAAATGAAGGTCTCACGAACGAAAACTTGTAATGAAAATTACAAAAAAATATTTTTCATGACCATAAAATGAACTTGATTGAATTAACTGACATTTCGATGATATCACAAAAATGTGTAGGATTTAGGAATAGCTCATTATTATTTGAGTATACAAAAGGGGATACCGTGCGAGCTTCAAAACGACCCATACGACTGATCCCAACTCAATGAAAATGATGTCAAATTGGAGGGAACTGAGCTTTTATTGGCTTTCACATTCATTGTACGTTTCGGTTTTGGCTCCCAGTGAATATTTCCCGTTTTTGGATATCAAGCTTAAAACCAATTTGGTTGGTTGAAAACGAAGGCACGTGAGCGCCAGATCACAGGTCACCGCACTTAGGCTAACATTAGACCTCTTTTACTCCTGGGTGGTAACCAAGTTAAGCCTTATCCAGTAACTCGTGGATTTGGTAAAATACCTAATTTTTTTTTCTAATCCAGCTGCCTCATTTTTGGTTGAAAAAATATGTTTGGCTAATTAAGAAAAGTCGGTTTTTGACGTCCGAAGTGCCTCGTTTTACAAAATTACAAAATAATAATTTAGTATGTATTTATTTTGGGTTCAAGATTTTATGCAATTATTTTACTTAAATATAATGTGTTGCAGAAAAAAGTAATAAATGTTACTTGTATAACTTCCTCGCAATACGTGCCTGCTAAAACTGCTTACTCAATTTCGCCTTAAATATTATATCATCAGAAAGTTTGAATACAGTTTTTACATATCGATAAACTTTTGGAATATCATAAAATCATATGTCAAATAACAAAGTGCTTAAAAGAAACTTACTTGCACATAAGTTTTGCTCTGCCGCATTGTAAGCAAGTAAGTAAGTTCTTCTCTACCCACAAATCTTCTTCCGCCCCTTTCAAGCATATTCTTACCTAAACACATGTGAACTTATGTATGTATATAGTTTCTATGCATAACAAGGAAAAAAATAAGCTCCAAGTCTGCTGTCACAATCATATTTTGTGGTGAAGTGTTTGTGTGTCTACTTATGCTGGCGGCGAAGTAGTCAAGAAAAGCCGCGAAAATTTTGAAATTTATCACATTTATTGCAAAATATTCTTTGGGCGCAAGCGGGCGTTGATGATGGCTATGCCAATGGCAGCTTGCTCGGAAGCAGCCACCCAAGCAGGCAGTGCGCCAGTTAAGTCAGGCATTCATTTAGCTAAGTGAGACAGTCAGTTAGTTAACTAGTCAACCACAGTCGTTGTCAGACTCAGTTACGGTTTGGGACAAAAGTATGTCTTACTCTCTTCATATAAGTACAAAAATATGTTTGTTCGTTTCGCTTACACCAACACACAGCACAGCGTTTGCGTAAGTTTGCACAAGTTTGATTTGCTACAATTCGTTGTCTACCATATGTGTATGCCTCGTCGTCAGTTAGTTGCCTGGCGACTCTAATGACGTTGGCTCCAACACGTTGTCTATGATTGTCTCGTTGTTGTGCCCATTTATGGGCCACACTGCATTTAGTATTAATTACCAGGCAGCATCGAATTGCCGTAATGCTTGTGGGTTATCACACCCGTGATGTGTTGTGATTGTTGCGGCAAACAAGTGTAAACTCGTCAAGACAAATTGCAACAGAATGTGTCAATGAAAATGAATGAAAAATAAGTGAGGGTTTTAGAGAAAAAGTGATTGTGCTGTGGCGTTTTTATTGTCGTCATCGTTGAAAAGTGAGAATAATATTTGTCGACATGTTGTGCAAATATCTACATTTAGAGCGCGGGTAATAAACCGATTAGTGTATTTATTTTGTGACTTGATTGCATACACATTTAACCTTTATTTAGATTTTTTTATACCTTTGTACTTGTCACTTAAATAACAATTATTTAAATTGAGTACCATAGTATCCAAGTATTCCCATACGCTCGAGCCTAATCCATCTTGCAACCGGCGATATTGACGACATGACGATCTCTATTACTCGGATGAGACTGGCTGGACCGTCATATGTCCGATCTGACATCCACATCGCCTTTTCTCTAAGCTTAGGTTAGATTAGGGCAGTTAAGATCGTAGGGCTGATCCTCGCATCAAAGGTAACGCACGATCTTACTTGAAAAGCGGTGAACGCTGGGGCTTATAGATCGACGAAGCGCTTTGAGCCTGCCACAAATTTGTTAACGCCGCTAATATCCATCACAGTAACTACGCTAGTTTCGACGCAACTGTGTTTACCTAAATGTTACAACCTCAGTCTTTCAAAAGCTGCACAGTTGAGTAGAAAGTGTTTAAATATATAAAATACCTCGTTTTTTACCATAAAGTTTTGCCAATTTTTCAACAACTACTTTGATGACAGTCTCGGCATCTAAGACATTTAAGTTTTATACATATATTGAAGTAAATATCATAAAATATGAGTCTGCCTTCCTAATACCAAACGGACTCCAGTTTCCTTTTCTGCCTCTGCAAAAAAGTTATCTGCCGAAAAATATCGGTTGCTCAGGAGACAGAATGGTAACAGATAATTAATTTTTTTGAAACCTTATTTGACACTTGGCAATTAGAAGAGAAATGAACTGCAATCCAAAATAGTAAATGTGAAAATAAATAGTTAAACTTTCTTTATAATAAAAATATAACATTAATAAATATTTTTTCTTAGAATATTTTGTAGTAAGGTCTGCTGTTGAATAAATTAAAGTAGTTTTACCCGCCAAGTTTGAGCAATTTGGTTAGAATAGCCTAATTACTAAATATGTTATACACGACAAAGGTCTGAGATCAGTCATCTAACGGCATGGTAGGAATATCTGAAGACGGTTAACGGGGTATTTAAATAATAAAGCAAATAGACAAAAAAGGGGTGTAAACTTAGAAGAGATAAAGCAATGTTACACGAATTAGCTCATGAAGAAGTAATGCGAAAAGAACCATAGCATTAATAAATAAATTTTAATATGAACCCTGCCATGGAAGAACATTTCAATATTATCAAAAAGGCGAGAAATTAATTTTAAATCATCCGCTACAATCATCACTTTTAATAAAAATTAATAAAATGAAATGAATCTAAATCATTTTAAATAATATTCAAAAACGAGGAGTTTTCTCTTTCACATATATATAAAACGTAATGATTTTTATCTATAAAGTGTTGTATGTATATAATTGTATGGCTGAATGTATGTGTATTAAGTATAAAAAACTAACACTAAACACTTGATAACACTAAATTAACCACATAACACACTATCCAGCGCACTGCTAGCAAATCATTTAATCCATCGTTGCATTATAAATTTGTATGTATTGTAGATATTATATTATTAACAGAGTCGACAAACTAACCTCAAACATTGGCATACTAACGTTTGTTACCTTTACCATTTGAGTTATTATTGCATCCCGTATTTATATCTATCCATTAAAACTAAAAACAAAAAAAATAAATTCTAAAATTCATTACTCACAGGATTCTCAAGCTGAAGCCGAGGTCGCTGTCACCACGAAGAATGTACGAAAACGCAAGACAACCCACAGTGATCCCACACACGGCAGCTTCTTTTTGCGTGTGGGTGCAATTGGTAAGTTCAAGTGGTATAACGGTTTAATCAAAGACAGAAAACTGAAAAATAGAATTATAAAGATATAACAAAATAATTAAATATGAAATATAACGATTTCAATATTTCAACTTAAAAACCAAAATATTTAAAATCTATAGGGTAAAAGATAAATTTTACTAGATATAGTAAAAATCAGTATATAGGCCCATAAACTAAACCTCTATTTTTTTTTTCTCTTTTATATTAGCCTTTGGTTTGGGCGGCATGATCTACATTGGACTGGAGTTTGGCTCTTTCTTCGAGATTCCTTTCGATTCACCTTGTCATCACATTTTGATTGGCGTTAATCCATTGTTGCAGATGATATTCACCTTTATGCAGATGTACTTCATATTCATGAATGCCAGAGTGAGTAAATGAAAAAAAAAAATGAGTTGCGAAATTTTTTAGAAAAGTGCTTGAGAAGCTGTAGAAAAAAAACACACATACAGTCGTTAATGATTTGAGGATTATATAATGTATTTCAGTGCGCTCTATTAGGATACATGAGCTTGAGAAAGCTTCATTATCTATAGAATTGTAAAGAAGCATATTCATAAAGAGATTTCAAATTTGAATTACATGAGATGGAAAATGAGCGACAGTTCAGCATCCGCATGGTAAAAGAAACCTGGCTCAATAACGACGTCTGCCTGTCTTCTAAAATAATACTAAATATGTCACTATTTTTTCAAAATTATTAACGAAGTAGTTTTAGTCGACAACAATTTTCTTTTTAGACCATAACTCTTAGAAGACATTATATTTTATACATAATATACAACATATGTAAGTGAGATTGAATACTAAAAATCGCACAACAAAAGTCTTTAAAACAGCCCTGATGTGTCATTATATCCCATTGCAAAATAGCCTACTACACTTTCTTAACAGATATTTTGGAAATTAGTTTTTCTTTGCACAGATTTAAAAAAATTATAAAAGTCGAATGCATATTTAAAACAAGAACTTGATAAAACGATATTGCACCGAAGTTATAAAATGGTATAAAAATAATTTTACCGTGATTAACCATAAATCGGTCAGTTTGTAGATCAGGCGATCTAGGCAATCTGAACAATTTATGCTGGTATTGCAGCGTTGCTTTGGAAAGTAATCTATGTTGAATTTAGTGAAGATAACTTTTCAAGGAAAAAAGTTGTCAAAAGAAGGACTTTAGTATGATCGATCAGTTTGTATAGCTACAGGTTATAGTGGACCGAACTAAACAATATTTTTGGAGACTGTAGCATTGCCTTCGGCAGTAATCCGTTTGGCATGGCATCGTGAATATATCTTGTTTAAAAAAAAGTTTTCCATACAAGGCCTTGATTTTAATCGATCAGTTTGTAGGGCAGCTATATCAGGTCCGATATTGGCGGTTACTAAAAATTAATAAAAAGCTTCTTGGGGGGAAAAAAGTGTGTACAAAGATTCAGAACGGTATCTTATAAATTGAGGGATTAATATTCGTATGTACAGACAGACAGACGGGCATAGTAAAATCGACTCAGTTTATCGCAATGATCATTTATAGTTATACTGTGTGTTACAAACTTTGCCAGCCATTTAGAATAAGATTTAGCGAAACTGAGTTTATGCTTGCATATATCGATATATTTGCATTATATTATATAAGCTATTAAAAGTGAAATATTAATTTTATTTGCTTCATATTTAGTTTTATTATACGGTCGCATTGACTAACAGCGCAATACAGCGGTCATTAAATATTTAGGATATAAGTTTAAAAAGCCATTTGAGTATATTTTGCTACAATTGACAAACTAACAGGTTTTTATTTGAACACAGAATTGATTTAAGCATGTTAACGTAACAGTTTCCAAAGTGCGACAAATTTATTGCATGCGTTAAAATATTTTCCAAATTCACCCAAAATTTTTAATTACATTTTTTCGAACAAAATTCCTTCATATGCAGACTAGGCCGCCATATCAGGTACAGTACTTCCATAATTCAAAGTTTCATGCCATCTATCATTAATGTACACTAACATGTTTATTCCAATGGCTTTTTAAACTATTCTTTTTTGCAATAATACACACTTTTTTTCCTCCATATTGTCAAGCATTCTACATAATTTTTCCCCTTCTACAATTTCAGCTCAATATCCATCGCTTCAAGGTGATTGCACGTTTTGGACTCATGCATGTTGTGGCCACAAATATTTGCGTTTGGATACGTACGTTGGTTAAGGAATCACTACTCGAAATCACACTTTATCATCAACGTGGTGAACCCGATCCCGATGCCTCGTCCATTGCCAAGTCCATACGTCAACATGCACTGCGTCATGCTGGTACAGTTCTGCGCACCCACGCCGGTCCGAATGAGGAATTTGAGGTGCTGGACGGCGAGGATTTACTGCCCGCCAATGCCTACAAAACCGACAATGTACTCTCGAAATTGGTGCGCAAAACTGTTGATGGCATCTCCAAGTCGTTGGGCATGGGCGCTGCTGCGGGCGCTAACGCCAATGCAGCGCTCACCACGCTGCTCACATCCACCACCAAACCATTGACCTCAACCATCACCACCACCACTACCACTACTACCCCACGTTCCTATTTCACCACACCATCGTATCAGTGGCAAAGCACTACTATGGCACGCAAGTTGAAGAAGTTTATCACGAGCACAACAGCTGCCACGACCACCACGTTGGGCACAACGCCTACCACACCGTCGACAACAACAATGCTGGCGAGCAGCCCTATTACCACCACGACCACAACAACTACGACCACTGAGACACCCTTCCGACATCACTTTGAACATTCGGCATTTACCACTGCTGCCCCAAATGTCGCCACCGATTATCTGACGTCTACTCATGTCGCAGCAGCCGATTTAGCTTCAACCACCGCCGAATCGGTGTCAACCAGTTTTGGTACGGGCATTGCTTCGTTCTTTAATAATTTAGTTTCGTCCACGCCCAGCACCACCGTTACCACAAGTACACCCTCTACTACCACCGAGAATGCATTGAATGTAATGACTAATTTACTTGGTCCTGGCATGAATAACTTCCAAACCTATTCGGGTATCTCGCACCCCGAATCAACTGGCGTTGTGAGCTTTGACAGTTTGGAGAGTCTCGATAATATCTATCCCGCCGCGCTCTCCTCCAACATTGGTACATTGAATTCGACCGCTTGTGGACGTGTCGATATTATGGGTACTATTGTCTACGACTCAGCACCCTTCCTGTATCCCTTTATAATCGAATATTCATTAATCGGTGCGGTTGTTTTGTATGTAATGTGGAAGCATATTGGCCGCTATCCGGGCCGTATGAACGATGAGGATTTGGAGCATCGTTTGGAAGTGATGTTGTCACGTCGCGCTGTCGCAATGGCTCATCAGGCACGTTCGGGACGTGTCGATTGTGTGGGTTCGTCAAAAGGGTTATTCTTTGGTCTGTTGTTGTTGGTAGGTGCTTTGATTTGCCTGATACTCTTCTTCGTCTTGGTGCGTCATCAGCAGTTCTCGCTGCTAGCAATTTACCTTGCCGACGCAAGTCATTGCATACTCATGGCCTTCGCCGTGCTTGCCATAATCATCGGTTTTATAAGGTAATCCTTAGAAATTATTCATCTTTTTACTTCAACTTTAAACTAACCAATTTTTTTCGCCTGCTCGTAGAGTTAAAAATCTAAAATTCCGCTGCGAAGAGCAATCCAATCTCAATGACATTCTTCTACGCATTTCCGCTTTCGGTCTTTTCACTTATTCGATATTTGGCGTCATCGCCGGCAGTTTGAAGGCGCTTGAAAGCGAGCCGAATCTTCTAGTCATGACCACAAGCGCCGTCGCGGTATTCCAGGTGATCTTGCAATTACTCTTCATTGCCGATGTTTCGCGTCGTCGCGTCCACTTGCCCGAGCATGATCGCAGCAAACCGGGCCGTCAAATCGTCACATTCCTGTTGATCTGCAATGTGGCTATGTTTGCTATTTACACATTTGAAGCTCAAAAAGTATTTGCCAATCCTGTAAGTAGCTATGTACGTGAGCGATATATGAAGATATGTTTTACCGCAAAAAAGAAAGTCTTTTTTACGAAATTCAAAAACAAAACGCATAAGTATTTTGTGTAACCGCTAAGCATTGAAGGACATACATTTTGATGACTTTTGTGCTTTATGGTTTTGAAGAGTATGTGTTTTTGAAGTTTTTGCATGACTTGCTTGTTATTATATAATATGTAGAGTAGTATTATTCAATATTGGAACAAGGTCTTGAAATCATCATAAGTTTTACTTTTAGTGTCACGCCTTTAGCGAAGAGCCGGGCTCTTAAGTTAAGTTAAGTTTCTTCAACTCAGTTCAATTTCAAATTTTTTTTCTATATATTTGTATGTACATCAAAGACTTCTCGAGTGTTTTCCAATTGACATCAATATTGAAGTATTGAATTTATTAAAAACGTAGCCTTTTTCAAAAATGTTCTCAAAAAAAATATATCGTTAGTTGTGTTAAGTATAAACTCATAATTATATAACTAACTTAAATTTATCCGTTTTCTTAAATTAAAACTCATTTCCGTGATCCTCAAAACTTTGTTGAACAGTAGCATTTTTAAGCCACTTCATTGTGATACCCAGTTTGTAGTCGACCTTTAGCATTGGGCTTAATTCAAACATGTGACAATTACCTTAATTTCGATCCACGTATTACTCAAATAAACCAAAAAAATACTTAGTCTATCCTTTTTTCCGAAAGTTAGCAAGACAGAATTGGCTACTGAACTATCTCGATTTTTCGGCGACAGTTGGTCGAGCGCTTTACCATGCAACCGTCCAATTGTTGAAAATGATGAATTCTCATCTTCAAGTCCTTCTTCAATCCAAATTCTACTGCCAAATAGAAGAAAGTAATGAAGGAGAATTCACCGCAAAAACCTTTTTTCAGGCGCAAACTTCGACATATTTGAGGGGAAATTAATTATTATTGTTTACGCTTAAAATGAGTGACATGTACCAAAAAAGACGCTTTCCAATACATGTTTGAAATATTAGAACAATGAAATAATTATTACGCGATCTCTACGCAAACCGCACAAATATAGTTATAGACTCAATATCGACACCACTGCCAGTTCTTGAACGGTTGGTAGGGTCAGTCACTCGTATATTTTATACTGTTCGATAAAGCGATAGAACCCAGTTGGTAGTAGGGCGAACTTTGAAGTATATGCGACGATATATTTACGACCAAATGAAGTCTTTATTTTCAAACCTTTTACATTACTCAAACATACATAAATATATTATCGATTTATTTGCAGTTTATGTATATATTGTTTGTAGTAAAATTGTCATATATGGTTAAACATTAACATATGGATGTATATATACATAAATTTCTAATTTTGAGTACGAAATTACTTTAAACCATTTTCACTTCTCATATCTTCATGTATTGCGTACTTTTTTGCACTTTCTCGATGTTACGTAGAAAACTAGTGCATTAAAAGCAAATGAAAATTGAGTAAAATAAATAAATTTTAACACGCTCTCATTTGCTCTCTTCCTCAAATTTTTACCACTCCTCTAAAACACAGGTTCAACTTGACTTCTACGGCTTTGTGCCATGGTCAATAATTCAACGCGTCACACTGCCACTCTGCATTTTCCATCGTTTCCACAGCGCCGTAGCACTGGCTGAGATCTGGAAGACAACGTACAAGGCACGTTTGGAGTAAGCAGTTGCCAAGGAAGCACATAAGAGAAGCTAAAAAACGTTAGAGCGTATCAAAATGGAGGTGTAGTGCCGAATGAACGAAACTGCCAAACTGCGAAAAAGGTACCAAAAAACACGAAACAAAAACAAAAAAAAAACCAAAAGAGAAGTAAAGAAAGGTAATTGAGGCGCAACGAAAGAGGAAGCATAAGAGAATATGAAGAAATAATTGAAAATAATGCAAACACATAACAGTAAATACAGCATAAAACAATGAAAATGTATTACAAAACATATATTTGTAGTATGTATGTGCGGAAAAAGAAAGCGAGCGTACAAGAGAAACGGAAAAGTGTGAACCGTGAAACGTTTAAGGACAACTTGCAGTCAAGTTGATCGGAAAATTAACGGTTACACGCATACCACACAAAGCTACATATACATACAATACAACACGTACATGAATCCATACACTGAGAGATATAATAGCAAAGAGAGCAGAAGTGAACAGTAATTGAAAAGCAGCAAATGAAACAAATGAAAATTAAACGATTAAGGCAAATCAATTTATGCATTGTAGTCTGACTTTGTGCAGACAAAAAGAGTTGTATATTTAAGTGTAATGTTAAGATTTTACTTATTAATTATTACAAAGAAAAATTTTGAAAAAAAAACAAACACATAACAATTATTAATTATGAATTATAGTTAAGCGAGTACAATTTGTAGATTTTCATGATAAAATTTAATTTTTAAGTCAATGTAATATTTAATTTATTATGCATAACAAACTGGAGGACAACAATTTAACAACAACAGCAAGAAATAATAAAAATAAAAGTAATTTATATACAATTTGTTGTTTTGTAGGGAGTAAATATTGAAAAAAAACGTTTAATTTTTTCTTAACAGCATTTTCCTTTACTGCTAGGCAGCCAATGCGATACATTTTAAGTGCTAAGTCATATTTATAAAATACGCCGTAGAAAATGCGCGCAGCTAGGCAAGCAGCGTAGCGCAGAAATGCGAATATGTGCGGCCGCGCTGCGAATTATTTAGTACTTAATTAAAAAAAATTATAATTTAAATTCTTATGTAAAAAATATGATGATATGGAAGAAAAGCGGAAGCAGCTAAGAATTAAGCTATATCGTGCTTAATTCTTATTTATTTTTATTTATTATTGGCACTTTATGTTATTGAGTTGTACCAAAAACAAAAAATAAAAAAAGCTTTTTAATTAAAACACAAAAATTTTAATTTAAAAATAGTAAAAAAATTAATATTAAAAATAATTATTTAATTAATTTAAAGAAAAATTTTATTTAAAAAAATTATTATTTAAAAAAATTAAGTATCCAAATTTTAATAAATAAAATTTTTTTTAATCAATTAATTAAACAATTATTTTTTCATTAATTTGTTTAATTAAAATTTTTGTTTTTAAATTAAAAAGCGTTTTTTTTTTTTTTGGTAAACAAACTTTTTATTAAAAAAATAAAAACTTTTTTAAATTAAAAAAATTTAATAATAAATTTAAATTAATTTTTTTTATTAAAAAATTTAAATATCATTAAAATAAATTAATTGCTTAAAATTTATTTGGAAAAGGAAAGATTGTTATTTGTGTATATTTTGTGAAAAAAATCGAATATTTATTTTGTGTATTATTTTCAATGTATTGCTAATTTCATAACATACTACATATATGTATATCTAACTCCCAAACAAACAAAAAATTATATAAAAATAAAAAAATTAATATTACGGATATTGAAACTAAAGTTATATATACACACAGACACCCAAACATATTAATATGAAATATAATATAAAAATACAATCTAAAAAAAAAATCATAATAATAAAAAATTGTTGTTTATTTATTTTCTATAAAACTGCGAAATTAAAGGAGAAATTGCAAAAGCAAAATTTATTTATACTAAATGGGCTTGGAGTATAAATTTTACTATATATAATTAAGCGTGTTATTAGTCGTATTTTTAAACAACCAAATATGAGGTGTAAGCATAATCTTAATTATTATTGATTAAAGCCTATGATATTTGTATGTTACAGATATAGAGAAGTAACCAGAGTTCGATACACAGCTTACAGATTAAATGAAATAATCGGAACACAGAAGTAAAGCAACAAAAAGTTCACCCAACAATCATCATAGAGATAAGCACATTCTCAGTCATTAATTAGTTGCTCAATGAGAGTTGCATACACATTTTTTACAGTGTAGTAACGGCCTCTTTTAGGGCGAAAGCTCATTAAAGTGAAAGCTTTGCGAAGAAAGTGGCAGAAAATTCCAGAAAAAGCAAGAAGAGCATTCAGAAAAGTATACAATTTCTTGTGAGAAACTTTCGTTAAAGTGAAAAGCTTTCAATAAAGTGAAAAGCTTTTATTAAAGTGAAACTTTTGCATAAAGTGAAAGCCTTGAGTAAAATGCAGAAGAAAATTTAAGCGAAAGCAAGAAGAACGTTCAGAAAAGTTTTCTTGACAAAAGCTTTTATTAAGGTGAAAGTAAGAATTCAGAAAAGTAATAGAATTCTTGTGAAAACTATAATTTTAGTGATAGCTTTGTGTAAAAAGAAGCACCAAATTCGAGCGAAAGTAAGAAGAGCATTCGGTACAGTATCCAAATTCTAGAAGGTTAAGTAGTTTTCAAATAGTTTCAACATTTAACGAAGCGAAGGCTGCGGTTAATGATTTCTCATACAAAAGGTCAAACACTGTCTAGTCTTTTGGGTACTACTTTTTCCGTAATGGAACTAATAACGGTAATCAGAACGAGTTGACTTGTCTTCTTATTAGTTGCTCAGTACAAAAACAGCTTTGCAACCAAGTTAGTGTGATATGAGACTCTTTTAAGAACTTTTAAGCATTGTTTTACTAAGTCATAAGAAATTGTGTCTTGGAACTTAAGCACAATCTTTACAGAGAGCCTTTGAAATTATTCAAAAAGTGGTTTGCTTTAAGTCAAAGAGTTGCTCAACTGATATTTAAGCTTTTCATATTTATTTTATTTGAATACTGAAAGCTTCACACCTATTGCCGTAGAGGCCAAACAAAAAATTGCTCTCGTAGGAACTTTTAAGGTCGGATTAAAGGGATTAAAGGTCGAAAATACATTTACAATAATTCCCCATAAAGGCATTGAGTAAGTACAATGAGCACGATTCATATAAATAACCGACCAGAGTTGTCTGCATCACAAAAAAAAATCATAACAACAAAAATCATGAATATCATCACAACACAACAACAACAGCACTGCACTCACGAAGAAGGTTGAAAAAGTAAGTTTGAAAAGTAAAAGCAGCAGGTAGGAAAAACACAGAAGAAACTTTAGAAATACATACATACATTCATACATAGTAAATAACAACAATAAACTGTGATCAATTGACATTTATATAATTTCAATAAAAACTTTTTTTTGGGTATTGCGCAGACACAGCAGGCAGAGAGTTTAGAATTATAAAAGAATTGGCAATTGGCAGTACAATGAAATGAAAGGTGAAAGAAAAAACGATAAATTAAAATACCTACATTAAATTTGAACCAGAGTTTTTTAGTAGTTATGAACATTTTTTTATATAAACACGCAGGTGGGAAACAAAAAAAATTATATTAATTGTGTAATTAAATTATGGAAATTGCAAGAAAATGAAATTTGTAATTAAAAACTAAAACAAAATATCTTCTTAAAAGTTACAAAAAAGCAAAGCCGGAAAAGTGTAAGTAATAAAAAATATATAAAAAAATTAAAACAAAAATTAAAATAAATTAAAGTAATCAACTTTTTTAAATGTCCATTTTGAATATTAGTAGTGAACTTTAAATGATAAAATCTATGAACAACAACACAAACAACAGCATTATACATACATAAATATTGAATATGTTTATAGCTGCGAAAAGGGCGCGCAGGAAAATTGTTGCATTTTGTCGTAAACCAAAAACAAAAACGAACTATATACGAAATTAGCAAAAGAAGCGAAAGAAAAATTTGTAAGAAAAAATATCTAAAAACTGTTTACATGTAACCTATTGAAAACAAAAACAACAACAAATAAAACAGCAAAGCAAAAACAAAGAAAATTACAACAAAAACATAAACAAAATTACAAAAAAAAAATTCCAAAAACCAAACCAAAATTACCACAAAAAAAACATTCTAAAACATACTGAAAGCATTTAATAATACAAAGAAAAATATTATATTGGCGACACACTCGTACTTACAAAAACAAAAGCAACAAAAATATTAGCGAAATATGTGAAAATGTTTTTTTCAAACAATTGTGAAATAAATTATATACTTATATATACAGACATAATATATAAAGTTTACCAGAAACCCACCAATTTCAAAGTATTACATACATGCGAACATTTCTTACAAACGAGTTATACACGTAAATGTAGAAAAACAACAACAACAAAAGCAGCAACAATATATAAACAGCTAAAAGCGTTGCACTTATTTTGAAAAACAAAAACAAATATGATAGTATTCAAAGCATTCAAGCGAACACATTTTCAAGTGGGAGAAAATATGCTCGGAAAAAATATATTGTAGTGGCGATCGAGTATTCATATTTCATGTGTCTCAATTCATGCAACATAACTTAAAAATTTATACAAATTCAATATTTTCAATTACATGAAGCACCAAAATTCATAAACCATTTCAACAAACGAAATTCAATCAAACCTACAAAAAACCTTAAACAAGCTTTGCAGAGAGCTTAAATCGTTGCTCGCGTTCTCCCACATCATGATAAAGATTTTTTTCGATTTTTGCAATTTTTCGACTGAAGTCATCAATTTCCATACTGGCATAGCATTTTCACCATCAATAACACCATCAATAAACACGTATGAACACTGCCGTTTATATATAAATTTGTACATTTATATATATTTACATACATACAGCCCACATATTAAAGACATTTTGCAACATCATTTGTGAAAGATAAGATGAATTGCAAAAAAAGCTCTCAAAATTTCTAACTAAAACCAGATATTGTAAGTTCAGCATGAAAATCGCTACTCCATTTCCACACGACCAAAATTAAAATTTTTATTTCTTCTTGTTGAAAATATAATATATTCCTATTTTACCATGTTTAATAGCTGCTCTTACGAATTTATCAGAAGATTCTAAAACAGTTGAAAACTTATAAGTTTTTGAGGCATAACAAAAAAGCTGGCCTACATTTCGGCGCAGTGATATAATATGATAAGAAATATGAGAGACTTGCAAGCTTCATATAAATAAAATGACGAGAGAAAATAAAAAAGGTGAACGATAGTATATGAAGTATGTGAGAAAGTCATTATGCACTGAAAATTAGCAGTGCTTAGTTTTATGATATTTGACAAATATTGCGTGGTGGTTTTTTAAAACTTTCGTAAGTTCTACTTATCATCAAACTTTGTTGGCTTAGCATGAAAATCGCTACTCCATTTCGCCACGAGCAAAACTGCAAAATACAATTTTTTTGAGAACTTCCTGATTATATTGATGCTTTTTCTATTTTTACGCTATTGCTGAAAAATTTCAAAATATTTAAAAATTTTGGAGATCTATCAGGCAAACTAAAAAAGCTGGCCTACATTTCAGCGCTAAGACATAAAGTCATGATATTTAGGAGATAATTGTAAACTTCATTTCAATAAAAATTCAAGACAAAACTATATAAAAGTGAAAGAGAGTAATTGAATTATGAAAGAAAGTCATGATACTCTAAAAATTTTAGTGTAGAGCTTATTTCGATGATATTAAAAGAGAATTGTGATGTTGAAATACTGAAAATTTCATAACTTGATTTATTTCTCCTCATTTAATGGTAAAATGTTTAAAAATCATACTGGAGAATTTAGAAGATTTAACAGACTATGAATAAAAAAAAAATTATAATACAAATATCATTGCCTACATTTCAGCGCAATGACAAAATTCATTACAAAAAAAAACAACTCAATTATGTGGCGTCAAATAATCCTCATTTTAGCTCAATATATTTCCAAAGCAAATTATTTTTCAATGGCAATCCTACAGCTGCTCCGGCATATGAGTATAATAAATTTTTAAGGAACATAAGTCATTCATCGTCGAGTCAGTGTTTAGCAAGATACTTTTTCTAGTACTTTGCAAGTGTTAAATTTTATATCTCGAAAGCGATTTTAAAAATACTGTTCTGTAATATTAACATTAGGTTGGTCTAAAGAGGTTAACTATCTTCAAAACTGAAATTTTTGCTCAAAATCTGACGTGACACAATCAGATAACAGAACAGTAGAATTCAAGTCGGCGGTCGAATTACTTTGATGATCCTTTGGATAAAACACAAAAAAACTTGTCAAAGAAATTTGAATAATTCAAGAGAGATTGCAAATGATATAGACTATTCAAAACGTCCGTAATGAATTGAAATGTTTGGGTTTGGATTAAAAATAAACATTTAATATATTTGACTGATCGGTGTCGAAAATATTGAATATATAAAAGTTATAAGTATTTTTAAAAAATTGTATAACATTTTTTTATCCTGAAATACCTAGGATATTTTAATACAGTTAAAACAGTTTTTGTTTTATTTTTTGTTTCCGAAACTCTGAGGAGAAGTTTTCAAAATTGATTTCGAATAAAAAAATATCAGTCGTTTTTTTTTAAATTGTTTAATCTCTTTGTAAAAGCAGCTATAACATTGCATAAAAACTTTAATTATTCAAGAAAGCTCGACTTGTTCAATACAAACGCCAAAAATTATGCTATCTAAAACTAAGATTAGTAGCGCAGCTTTCACAAAATGTATAGCAAGTGAGAAAATAAAATTTTACTTAGTACAATTCAAACTCCGAATCATAGAAGAAAGTATATGTATATGTTAAATATAAAACCGCATAAATACATCTTACTATTATACATATATGCAGAAAGAAGAGAAAAAAAAACATTTAAAAATAATAGATTTAAATTAAATAAATATGAGCGCTAAAAAATAATAAAATATTCAAAATAATTTTTTTTTTCAATATTTCTTATATAAAAAGAGCAAAAGGTTAATGCAGCTCAAGTTTTTATTTAAAAAACACTTTAGAAAACTTGTATGTATGTATATGTTGAGAGTTAAAGAAAAAATGAAGCATACTTAAAGGCGTGCAGCATATTCAAATTAAGCAAATGTTGTTATGAGTAACTGAAAAATGTTTAAAGATGTAAACAAAAATGTAAACGAAACAACAAAATAAATTTGTAAACAATATTTTGCAGATTAAATGTTAAAAAAAAATATATTGTAATAAAGAATGAAAATGAGCGCAGTTAAGTGAAAAGCAATGCGATACTTTGCTACATATTATAGCTATGATGCGCTTTCCCTGCTCCCCGCATACCTTCAAACCACATTAAATACGGCAGTTTATATAGTCGACTTACTTCAATTCAAATGATAATGAGTAAAGGAATTAGAACAGCAAGACGAACGAGGAGAAGAGAAAAGTGCAATAGCTACAACTCAAAAAGGACATATATAAAATAAAAAATAATATATAAAACATAAAAGTAAATAACAAACAAAGACAAATTGTAATCCATTTCTTAAATAGTGAACATTTTGCACGCGATTAGCGAGACAAACAACATCTCAGCAGATAAAAAAAGAGCAACCATAGCATATATACAGGCGACACATATACAACTAAAAAGGCAAACAAAAAATATCGAAAGAGTATATAGCAACAGTAAAAAGGCATATTAGCGAAAAAGTAAGAATGAGAAGTAAATGGCTCGAGGACAATGATCTTCTTGGCATAAACGAAACGCCTGCATTCGAATGTCAGCCAAAAACGAACAAAGTAAAATATCTAAAAAATAGCAAATAAAGAGCGATTCAAGCATCATAAAATAGTTCAACTCGATTCTATATAAAAAATTAGTATACAATATATATATGTATATGTATGTACAAGTACTAAATGAATATACTACATATAAATATGTATGTATGTATATGTTCGATGAGGACAAAGTATGAAATGATATTGTATTTGTAGTGTAGCAAATGTAAAGCGTACGCTTCAAGGCACACACACACCGATACAGACACGCATATAAAGACAGGAGACACAGAAACGAACGAAACATACAAGAGAGCTGAAACGACAAGCGGCTGAGTACTTGAAAGGATTATAACAGGATATGAAAGACGCTCACGAACTTGACCGACAAAGGAGAGTGATGAGAAAACAAAAATCGATAACAAACAAAAGCAAGAACAACAAACTCAATTACAGCTAGACATACAAGTACCATAAAACATACAAATCATACAAACAAACATACACCAAATTGAAGCATTAATTTTAAATTCGAATAAAATAAAATTAATAAATTTAAAATATATATCTCGTTTGTTTAACTACGAAATATTTTAGGTAGTATGGGGGTTGCAGTTTAGGGTGATCGTGTTTTAGTCTGATCATTTAGTCAGATTTGTGATCTCAAGATCAAGTTTGACGCGGACAGATCGATATAAACTGCACGATAAATCAACTCAACACGTTTTGGTTAATGTTTTAGGTATGAAGCTTGTCAATGCTAGACTCGTACCAAAAGTCGAGTATAAGTCGCAAAATAATTGATTGAAAGGGCTGATGAGGGACCTACATTCATCAAACACATTATTACTGATGACTAGACGTAGCGAATGGTGTTCCAAATACATATAAGCCGAAACCGAAAAAACAAAATTCGCTAAAGCCATTGAGGTTCCAAGTAAAATTGTATTATGCGTTGGCGTGCATGAATTGGGTCCAGAGCCTATTTTGAAGGCGATAGTAAAGGTTTGTATTAATATATATGAAAATGTATTTTTTTCAGTGCTGAGTTGATTTATAGGCGATAAGCACTTAGAGAGCTTATGAGTACAAAGGTAACAGTGTTAATTCATCTCTAGCAGGCAATCTCCTAACTCTTTATTTTCTTTATTATTTTTTTTTTTTGATTTCTTAATCATGAAGAAAAATAAAAAAAAAGATTTTTATCGGTGAAGTGTTCAAAACTACCGTTTTTCAAACCGCTTCTCAATTTTTCTACAAGAAAGTTAGCTAACCTGGTTCCATCATCCTCTGGAAAAGCTGTTCAAAATTGTTTTAATAACAACATTTGTCCCTTCCACCAGAGTTGAATCCACATTATGGTTAATTTGAGTTCTAGAGAGAGGTGATAGATAACACAACAATGCCACTTCTTCAGAATATGCTTTAGAGCTTCAGTTATAATATTTAAGCAAATTTATATCGACATGTTTGTCATTTCATAAACTAACGCGTGTCCGAATTTGTTGAATTAGAAGTGGTAAGTTGGTATTCTATTTTCACCATTAAATTTTTCAGTTTTTATCTTACCTCAATGTGTCTTAGATATTAACTTCTTAGGCTCATTTTTATTTCACTCAAGTAACCCTGTGTTCACTTTGCTAGAGAGATTCAAACTAATTTTTTACTTCAATAATATAAACTAATGGCTATTGGCGACATCTAGCGGTCAGTAGTGCAGTCTTACGATGTTTTATGCGTTTTATGGACATTAGGATGAGTCAACTATTGACAATATATATATCAAGTTGCCACACAAAAAGCAAATAACAAAAATATGTTTTCCCATAGCAAACCATTTCATTTTGAGGTATAACCGGAAATGCTGTACAAAAACAATTAGGGCTTGCTAAAATAGAAGTGCCTACTAGGAGAGGGAATTCATTGCCTAAACAATAATAATAGTATGTAGTTAAGCAGCGGTACAGATGATTTTTTTTTTTTTTTTATGTAATAAGTATCGTGAAGAATGACCGGAGTAAATCATAAATTTAAAATCATCTCAAGAGATGATAAAAAAGAGCTGGTTTTTAACGGTCCAAATATATTAATTTACATCAAGTTAAGTGAAATGGGGATTATAGTCTAGTAATCTAATATCTTTAAATGAAGTAAAGATAACTTTAAGTTGCGACTTCTGAATTTATGATTTGATTGGGTGCTGGAAAATAATTTAGAAATGCTAAATTTGATGCAATTTGGTGGGTTATTGCATGTTAAAATATTCTTAATGTAAGACTAGAAATTTAATATTTCAACTGGAAGTATATTTGGACGCCAGCTTTATTCCAAACCGACTACAATGAAGTGGTTATAACGGAAACGAAAAGAAATATTTTTTTCTACATTCTAATTATTGTCATGGAGCTGAGCAGACTTTAAATTTCCGATCATGAATCTTGATTGCAACTCTTACGTGGAGTCCTTAACAATTATCACAAATGATGTTATATTGACCTGGATGAATGCTATTACGACGTAGAAATACACATCATAACATCATTTAGTGAAATAATGACGTACGGTGCGTTGGCTGAATCCAATTATTTGAATATACTAAAAGTTTAGGTTAGGTTAAGAGGTCGACCTTAACAGCGATCTCACTTGGATAGCTTAGAACCCCGCCTGTTAAACGCGCGCAAGGTTAATTTGTCCAAAACTAGAACGCAAGATGTCAATAGAGATCTAACTCTTTCCCATTCCGATATGAGCGGGCTAAGGGTACCACTCTTGCGAGCTCACCGGCTTTACAGTTACCAGCAATGCCGCTATGACCGGGCACCCAAACGAGTTTGATGATGAAGTAGCCCAATGCTGTTTGTAGTGAGGACATACACTCCTTGACTAACCTTGAGATCACAGTTAGCGAGCTCAGAGCTAGAATTAGAGTGGCCTTTGCGACGCAGTGTTCTGAGTTTTTAGAGATGCTGTTAAAAAAGAAAAGAATTTCGACCAATTTCCGTGTTCGGAATCCTTCAAATACTCTGCTTTCCTGAGCCTTAGAGCAGAGCAATTCGCGGCCATATACCTGCAGGCAATGTTCATAATAAAAAAGAAGAAGGAAGAAAAATTGGTCATTTATGACAAAGTCTAGTGAAAACGCCGTCGTCGAGTCACGGATGGCCGGCGTAAATGGTGGCCAAGCCAAGATTGATGATCAGAAAGGTTTTGCTATATGTTTGGGGGAATTGACAGATGATGTTCTACTATAAGCTGCTTCCGAATGGCCAAACTCTTAATATGGACCTGTTTTCGAATAATAAAATTTTGTGGGCGTGGTCCGATTACGCCCATCGACGAACTCGTTTACATTTTTGCCAAGGAACACGTATACCTAGTTTCATTGACATATCTTTATTTTTACTCAAGTTATTGCTTGCACAGACAGACGGATGTACCGACAGACAGTCACTCGGAATTCAACTCATATTCTCATCTTGATCATTTATACATGTACCTATATATAACTATTTTACTCTGTAGCAATATGTTGCAAGAGTATAAAAATACGTTAATTTTGGCCTCACCGAAGGCATAATGTCCTTCACAGCTGAATTTCTTGTAGCATAAGATAGTATAAAAATATCTATATTTTGATTTTGATCGGTTAGTTTGACCGTCAGCTACATGCTACAGTGCTCCGATATTGGCGGTTACGACAAATGGGCAGTTTGGGGAGAAATAAACAGACATACGGACATGGCTAAATCGACTCAGTTTATCATCATTTTTTATGCGGTCTCCGACGTTTACTTCTGGGTGTTACAAACTTCGTGGCAAACTATATTAGGTGTTCTGTTCAGAGTATAAAAAGCAATTCTAAGCCAATATCAGTTATATTGTCTATATATATATATATGTATCTACACATACGATTTTTCTTCACATAAATTTTTAGCATTGCAAATTGGGAAACAAATGAATACTTGACTTCTTCTAATTCTTTGCAACGTGAAATTTTGTTAAACGGTACATTTACAAGTAATTGCTATAAAACAGGCACGCCAAGTTAAAGCTACCGAAATTATGAATTTTCATTAGCATTCACATTGGAAATCGTTTCAAGGAAAATTCGAAAAAAAAACACAGAAAAATGGTTTATAATATTTCAAGAACACATTTTATTTTGCATAACAATAATAAGTAATAACAAGTAACGCCCAAATAACTGTCTGCCCAACTGCCGGCAATCGAATCGAAGAACAATTAAAGAATAAAATAAAAAATTAATTAACACTTTGCGGTAAATCGCATACATTTTTTCTACCTTTGACTGAAGGCAGGCATACGAAGCAATGCAGATTTCACAAAACCAACGCGAATTTTCATAATGAAATCAAATCAGCCACAAGCGGCACACAGTTGTATGTATTAGCTCTATTCATGTAAGTGATATATATTTTGAGACTCGTAATTAATAAGCGGTTGCATGCGCTTATTTGTGTGTGTGTGTGTGTGTTTGCAGTAAGTGCACTTGCTTAGTTGCTTTTGGTTGTTGTTTTTTGCCGATATGGTACATGCATAATTACACATAATCGGACAACACACATACATGCGTGATTCTAAGCAATGCGACGCGTCCTTCCAAAAGCTACGGTCTACTTCCAAAAAGCAGAAAAAACATGGCAAGAGCAGACAAAAACAGACTAAGTAACACGTAAACAGTGCAAAAATGTAATTGAAAATCAACGAAACCGTTCATCGCAGAATATAAAGCGAGTTTTCGGTAAACAAGCACAGCCTAATTATTATTAAATCGCAAAAATGATTTGTGTTGAGTATAAACATATATACATACGCTTAACACCAAAAATATTCGTACAAGCTACTCAGAGTGCATAAGAAAAGCTGCAAAACTCAATCGTATATAATTTTTATAGACACAAAACCCAATATAATCATAAAAGGGAGCTTAACATAAGGGATAAGCTGGACCATCGTGGAACCTACTCCTGGTGCTATCTTTTCCGCGATTATACCTGCGAGTGATGCAAGTCACAAGTCGCAAGTCACGGGAGAAGAGACGCATAGAGCTATATCACAATTAGATCGTAGTAGGGACAAGTTGGAGAGGACGTCTTCAGGCGCGAGGTCTCAATCAACTTTTTCTGCAGACCGCCAGACGATTCTAGAGTCCTTTAAGAGGTTACATGGTTCACGGCTTCAAAAGAAAAACGATTTTTATTGTCTTATTTAATTATATAACATCTCTAGAATATTGTCCGAAATTCTCAAGTTGATTCTTGCAAGAGTGTTGAAGATACAGTCTTGAAAATTTGTGCGCTCGAGGTTAGCTTTATAGTCACTTAAAACTTTCAACGCGTTTTTCTCGAAACTGTGTTTTCATAGTCGGTTGTCAAGATTTCCCGCGTGTTACTCAACCGATCTTAATGGAATTGTATACAGGTCTTTGAGATATAATTTACAAGATATTGAATGAAGCATCTTTTTGTTCAATAACAACAACTAAAAAGAAAAGTCGAGAAATTTTCGGTTACGAAATCTTTCGGGCCTAGAGAGGT